ATTTTATTCTAAATTCAATTTACTGAAAAGTTTTACTTCAGAGTTATTTCAAGAGAACAAGTCTGAAGTCATTCTTCAGAGTTAGCTCACTCGAACTCTGAAGTTTGTTTTTTCAAACATAGCTCACCCGAACTCTAGAGTCTGAACTCTAGAGTCTGAACTCTAAAGTATTTTTTAGACTTAGAAAAAGAAGTCTGAAGTCTTCTTTTTCAGACTTAGAAGTCTGAACTCTTCTGCAATTCTGAAGAGTACAAGTCTGACGATCATTCTTCAAAGTTAGCTTACCCGAACTCTATAGTCTTCTTTTTCCAGACGGAGCACCATGCAGAGCCTCTGGCTTACCTATATAGAGCTCTAAAGTCTGAAGAGTTTTACTTCAGAGTAGTTTCAAGAGTACAAGTCTTGTAATAAACTTATCTAGACTTTGAAGATAAGTCTTTAAGACTTAGGCTTAGTCTTGTAAATCAGAGCCCCTCTGGTTGGTCTGGCTTCTGGATGGCTTTGCTTTCGTTTGTTTATTTGAACTTTAGAAAAATATTCCAATCCATCATAAAGGAACCAGAATGGCTCTGGTTGATCTTTATGTTTAACCAGAGGGTCTCTGGTTGTAATTAGGACTCAAATTATTTAAGTATTTAACATTTTTTTAACCCAAATGCTCTTGATAGACGAACCAGAGGCTTTGGTTGACCATAGGGGCTCTGGTTGACTACAGGGCCTTTGGTTGGCCTTGCTTTTGGGTTGGCCTTGCTTTTGGTTGGTGTGTCCACATGGGCTCTAGTCCTTAAGGACCAAAGGAGCTCTGGTTGGTCTTGCTTTGTATGATGCAAACTTCATCACAAGGTCTTTTCAAAGATATTGGGTATTTGAATAACTCTGAACTCAAGTTCTTAAGGTTTCATCTTCAGATTTGACACAAACGCTCTTCCAAGTTTAAATTCAACTTACTGATATAGTTTCAATTCTAAATTCAAAATTATTTTAAGGTTAACATCATTTTAACTAATTATTGATATAGTTTCATTTCTAAATACAAGTCTAAATAGTCATTCTTCAGAGTTATACTTCAGAGTTATTTCAATAATACAAGTCTGAAGTCATTCTTTAGAGTTTTACTTCAGAGTTATTTCAAGAGTATAAGTTTGAAGAGTCATTTTAAAGAGTTAGTTCATCCGAACTCTGAAGTCTGCTTTTTCAGACTTAGCTGACCCGAACTCTAGAGTTTTCCTTTTTAGACTTAGCTCACCCGAACTCTGAAGTCTAAACTCTGAAGTCTTCTTTTTTAGACTTAGAAGTCTGAACTCTGAAGTCTTTTTTTAGACTTAGAAAAAGAAGTCTGAAGTCTTTTTTTTTCCAGACTTAGAAGTCTGAAGTTTTCTTTTTCAGACTTAGAAGTCTGAACTCTGAAGTCTTCTACAAGTCTGAAAAGTCATTCTTCATAGTTAGCTCACCCGAATTCTGAAGTCTTTTTTTTTCAGACTTAGCTCACCCGAACTCTGAAGTCTTTTTTTTCAGACGTAGAAGTCTGAACTTAGATTTAGTGGGATTGATTTTATACTTCAAAGTTATTTCAAGAGTACAAGTATGAAGAGTCATTCTTCAGAGTTATTTCCAGAGTACAAGTCTGAAGAGTCATTCTTCAGAGTTAGCTCACCAGAACTCTGAACTCTTCTTTTCCAGAAGGAGCACCATGCAGAGCCTCTACATAGTGCATGCAGAGCTTATGGCTTGCCTATACAAAGCTCTGAAGTCTGAAGAGTTTTACTTCAAAGTTATTTCAAGAGTACAAGTCTGAAGTCATTTTTCAGAGTTATACTTTAGAGTTATTTCAAGAGTACAAGTCTGAATAGTCATTCTAAATTTACTTCTAAGTTTAAATATAATTTACTGATATAGTTTCATTTCTAAATTTAATTTTATTCTAGGGTTAACTTCATTTTAACTAATTATTGATATAGTTTCATTTCTAAATCCAAGTCTAAAGAGTTATTTTTCAGAGTTATTCTTCAGAGTTATACTTCAGAATTATTTCAAAAGTACAAGTCTGAAGTAACATCGTACTTTCGATGATCATTCATATATGTAAGATAAGTTCTTGACATGATTTAGTTTTTTCAAATTACCCCGTGTAATACACGGGATCGAACCTAGTATATATATATATATATATATATTTACCATTTTTGTTTGTATTAATTAATGTATTATATTATTATATTTCAATTATATTTTAAAATATTATAATTGATTATTTTTTTCAAGATGCCCTCTTCGTTTATTTACATTCTTATAAGCTAGTTTTTGTCAAACATGATTTGTTCAACATATAACTTAACAGCTACCAACTATTTTATAAGTCAACAGCTAGCTTATCAACTAGTTTCCCAAACATCGCCTTAAATCCTTGGGGCCATTGAAGGTTTAATCGAATGTTCATTAATTAAGATATACACAAGTTAACCTTCACATGCATGATTATTATTAATAAAAAAAATGGATTTTCTAATAGCTGTTACATTTCAGGTTTTTCTGTTTGGCCATTTATGACCAAATTATGGTATGTTAACTCGGTTATTTTGGTATGGTGAACTCGACCTACACAAATATTACAAACCACATTGGCTGGATTAAATTGTCCAACATTGAAGGTTTAACCGACCGTTAATTAATTAAGGTGTGCGTAAGGTGACCTTCACACTGACAATTTATTAATAAAAAATGACTTTTCAAATAACATGTTTCGGCTCAAGTTGAAATACTAACTTCAGATATCGAATTTGAAGACTTTGATTGGGTATGAGTTAACAATTGAAAATAACATAACAAATAAAGGTAACATGGGTGTAAGACTTTTGGTGAGACACAAACACAAATTCCAGTGCTACAACAATCAGTTAGCCATAACTAGTTCCACTATCTATTTTGAGGGTATTCCTCTCGGACTTTCACCATTTCATTATATTATAGCTTTCAACCCATATCTCCATATGGTATCAGAACCAGGGATAGTGACGAATGGTGTCCTCAAAATATATGGATAAACAAATCTCTTTGTTAAGAATCACTTTCTCGAGCCGATTCCCATATCATTCAAGTTGGCGTGTGTTCTAAGTAATTCATCTCTGAATCCACCGCACTTTAACACTTTAACAAGTGACCAACCTGTCGAGAATTAATTAGTTTAAAAAGATATAAATGATAAGTCTCCTCGTCGACAACTTTCTCAAGTCTACCTCTCATATCATTCAAGTTGACGTGCATTCAGTGGCTTATTGCTAAGACCATGACACTTTAATACTTTCAAAGTGATCAACTTGTCAAGAAGTTTCATTGGTTTTTATAAAACTTGAATGAAATAGTGGAACGTTGTTATTCCAAAACAACGTCCACTTTTCTTCGGTTTAAAATCTCACCCTTTGTCTCTGATATGTGTTGAGAATTTAACACATAAAGC